CCCTTGGTGTGGCTGTTGGACCGCAGGCTGTTCAGCCACGGCAGGAGCCTCAGCCATGAGCTCGCCGAATGGGTAAGAATATGTTCAACGCAAGAAGTGAAATCGCACAACCCGTGCTGCGAATTGTTCTATGCACAAAGCGAAATGGAAGGAATCTGACTGGTCCTACTACTTAGGACTCTCTTCCTCCGCACGGCTTCCGGAATCCTTTTCAAGGATCGAAAAAGGGACATTGGGGGGTAACCCTGTTGGACCACTTGCGGGGAGGGGGGGAGGGGGGCTTGATTAATTCGCTGCGTGTTTTTTGTTTTCTCTGTGGCCGCCGTTTTGGTCGAGGGTCTCGTTGTCGACGTTCTCCAAGATCTTTGAGGCGCAGCTGTCGAAACTCTTCATATCTTTCTCCATGAGGTACTTCAGCCTGGCACCACTGGCACCACCCGGGGCGCTTAGAGGCGAGCGAGGCGCCAAACCGTGGATGGATGAAGGCCAATATGAAACGTGGATTTGGGCAAAACAAGTCCAACTTTGAGATGTTGCCTGAAACATGGCTGGACGATTTGCTGCCTTGAAGGACTTTCAGTAAGCCTTGCGTCTCGAAACTTTTGGCCTGCCACTCAAGTGGAGCCTTTCCGCCCCCAAACCGAAAAAAGAAAACAAGAGAGTCAAGTCCAGGACCCTCTGAGTGAGGTCTAAGCTCGTTCCTGCAACCCGGAAGCTCGCGGGGGAAAAAAGCAGCTGATATCGATCGAAGCATCAGTCCACAAAAAAAAAACCAAGTCTTAAATACCAAGCACCCGCTGAGTGGATGGGCCAAAACAAGTCCAAACCCAGTGCTGGCTTAAACTTTGTGCTGGCCGCGAAAATGGTCCAACCCCAACAAGTTCAAAGTCCAGGAACTCAAGAAGTGAGAAGGGCAAGCGGAGATACCGAAGACGCGGAGCCTCCGCGTCTTCGGATGAACCCCTACGGAGTCTCCGTGCACAGTTCGAAATGCCCCGGAGTCAATGCCGGGCATTTTTTCGCACCAGGTGTAGCCGAACATGGGTGCTTCGGCTCTGCCTTTGAAAGTGTGGTTTTCGTTTCGGCCAATTTCTACCCCAAGAAGGACCCCTTAAAAAAGAGCGGCATTCAAGTAGCCCAACAAAACTTTAAAACAAACAAACATCCCCGGCGGTCTCACCGGAGTCGGTTGGCCTTCTTTGGAGGCTCCGAATGCAACCTCAGCTTTTGACCCCATCAACAACAGCACGTTTGATTCTCCATAGCGCATCTGAACAGGGTTGTGGGAAATGACCACTTCTGTGATACAATAAAAAGAGGCTTCCCAAAGACTAACACCCCCCTGTACAGGGGGAGATTCCCTGGCATCACAGAAGTGGGGAAATAAACCCCTTGATTCCACAACCCTGCATCTGAAAGTAGATAAAAGCAACTTCCAAAAGGGATCCCGGTTCAGCATGGCATTTCAGGCCCATCGGGACCCAGAGCTCAAAGGCGAGTACCGTTTGGGCACATAACGAGACATGGGTGGCCCAAAAAGGCGGAAACCGAAAACGGTGGCCCAAACTTGCTGGTGCCCAATAGGGAATGTGAGAATGAACCCAGGATTTGTTTTTCATAAAGGAAACCACCAGTTGGATGGCTTTTCTCTGGGTCATTCCATTTCTCATTCCCTGCATCTCTCGCAGCGATCGCAAGAAAAGCGGAGACCAGAAGCTTGAGAGGTCGATTCGCTTCATGTGACTCTGACTCGACTCGCCGTGGCGGCCCGCGCGGGCCTCGAAACTGTGCCGCCCTCATCCTGGGCTCGTGCTAGCTCGGTCTTCAGATTCCAAGGAAGTGGCTTCTCCACAACCAACCAGACAAGGGGCTTAAAGGGGGTTCCCTAAAAGAAGACCGTATGGCCCTAAGGGTTGATTTCCTTTCTCCATTCTCTTCACCCATTTTTCTCTTTAAGTACCGGTTTTTTCAGGGCTAGGCCCATTTGCTGAAGAGAAGGGTTTTTTCTGAAGAGAATGGAGAAAGTACGGCCAGACGAATGAACGCCCATGGCTGCCTGGGCAAATTACTGTTCTCAGCGAGCCGGAAAATCTGGGACATCCGCATAGTCTTGAGCTTGGTTGACATGTTTCACAAAGACATGTTATGTTCATGCTGTAAGAAAACCGACCTGTCCTATTCATAGGGTTCCCTGCAAACGTGGTCCGAATCCAAGCACTCAAAGAGAAGTCTCTTCAATGGAGCTCGGACCTCGAACCCTCCCGAGCTGGCTGGCGAGCTCGCAGAAAGACGGGTCCCTTTCTGTCACTTCCCTAGATTTCCCTAGCGAGCCCAACTCTTATTTGAGCACCATGCCCAAGGAACAACTCCTGGGCACTTTGAGACTTTAGAGACCCCTGGCCTAGCGAAGCTCTTCTTCGAGCACCTGATCAAAACCCCACAGGTGCCCAACCGCAAACCAGGGATTGCTTTCTGGCAGGTCCATGCTAGTTTGTAACGGATTCATTCCGGCGACCGTCGAGGACAGAGCATCACGCAGCTTCAAAAGAAAGCACACGGGCAAGAACCTGTGCTTAATGCTAGGCTCATAATTGGAATTAGGTGTTGTATTGTAGCATGAATGCAGGAATTAAATCCGGGCAAGGAAAGAAAGGCAAACAAGTCGGGCGAAACACGGACAAACAAATCCGGACAACCATTGGGAAATATATGCTTTTTGAAGTGGTCCTCAAATCATCAAATTTAGGATAACGTCTTTACAACAAAGTCAGGGCAAACAGTCACACAAAGGGGGGTTACTCCACAAGGGGCCGTGATCCTCCTTAATGTGACTGTGTTGGGGTCCTCTTGAGTGTCCAAGCCTTAGCCTTTTACTTTACGGTGGTTTACCTAACCAAGCTCTTCCCAGCTCTTCCCAGTTCTTCCCATTTTGCAAGTGGTCCCCAAACCCTCAAATTAAGATAACTTCTTTACACAAAAGTACGAGGATTCTGAGAGTTAGTCTTGGCAATACTAAATTTTGACTTGGCAATACTAAAGTAAGTTCCAGGGAATGTAAAATTCAGCCTTGGTAATACAAAAATGTAGTCTTGGCAATACTAAAGCAAGTTGTGGGGAATCTGAGAGTAAGTCTTGGCAAAAGTAAGTACTGGCAAGTCCAAGTCTCACCCAAACCTTCAGGATTCTCCCTAAAGAGGGTCCCGCTGACTGGTTCCGCTGTTCCAGGGAAGGGAATAGTAAAGAGGGTCCAACATTCGTCGCATCTTCCATTGATAGTGCCCCTGCTAGGTTGTCTTGCAAGGGAAAACAAATGCAAGCTGCCAACTTTTTGAGTAGTTCCCTATTTTGAGACACTGCCATTGACATTTAGGCCCCCCTTTTCAACATCACCCACCAAGTGGAACCTGATTTGACATTGGCTCGAAATGTTCTTAAGCTGGAAAGTAGGGCCATAAACAGTAATAGAGACCGTTGTGCGACCCCCCCCGCCAACAAAAGGAAAAGACACGCACTCTCACCCCCCCCCCCAAAAAAAAAAACACAAAAAAAAAAACACGACGCCTCTTCACTTGTTTGGTCCGTCTTCGTCCCCAACACCGCGTCCCAAAAGCGGGCGCCCGATCCCTCGCCAACTGCGGCAAGGGTCGGACATCACGCGGTTGAAGGCCTCCATTTCGGAGGCTCCGCGGGCCGAGTCGTCGGACATGAGCAGGGAGCTGTGCAGAATCCGGCACAGGTCATAGCCTAAGGCACCGGGGAGCCGGCTTCACTTCTGAGATTCCGATGCGGGGTACGCACGCACAGAAAAAATTAGAGAATTAGATCATGATATCTATATGTGCATTTCCGTGGTTATTTTGTTGGCTTCAAGCCAATCACATATTTCAAGCTTGCGAAGGTTGTGGCATTTGTAGCTGATTTTTGGCTGTAGCTTCCTCACCGGGGTTGGTTGGGGGTTTATGCACGTCCTGGGTGGTCTCCACACATGTCCTCCGCGATGCTTAAACAAATGAGCTGCTTGGCGGATTTGCTTCCTCACCGATCAGGGATCCCTTGCCTCCCCTGGGCTAGCACCACCTACTGCTCTAGTGGCCCATGTAAGATGAGTTGCCCTCCAAATCCAGCGCCCGGGTACCAGAACAAGAGAGTGGTGGCTGGGTGAGAGTGGGCTCATTGAAGGCGGTGCCTGTTTTTTTGAGCTGCTCTTTGGCAGAGAATCGACAGAAACTGGCCAGAAATAGGTTTGGACCACTTTGCGCTTCGTTGGATTTCTTAAAAGCGACGCTTTTGGTGGGATCTGTGATAAACCAATCAAATCGCAAACAGCTTAAAAACTCTGAGGGCATGAAAAGGGAACTGTCAAGGAAACCAGACCCTGATCCCGAAAAGAAGGCCGAAAGCGAGTTGTTGCACAAATAGTGGCTTGAATATGTTTTAACAAGGGGTAGGGGCAAAGGTCATAGCCCCCTGCACAGACTTTACACATTCGACTGGGTTGTTCAACATTGGGTGGGCTGTATTGTTGATGTTTTATGCTGTTGTTTTGGAGGAGTCAGGTTCGTTGCCTTTTGGTGGGCGGTCGTTGAAAATCAACGAGCTCTAATCTACTCAGTTTTCTGTTGAATGGGCAATTGGCAACTGGTTGTTTTGCCTCAGGGGGTGTGACGGCTTTGCCCCGCTTACTGCGTTGTTCGAAGTCAATCCTTGCGCTAGTTGGTAGTTGGTTGCCTTGTTGTTGTGATGTCCTACCATGGTTTGTAGTTCGGGATTAGGGATCCCAGCCAAGACAAAAGTCAGCTACACAGTGAAAGGGCAACATCTGTAATTGCGTGAAAGGGATATACATATACATATATACATAGCCAGCAAAAGGAGCCTTTTGGGATTGAACATGCATTTTTCACCATGAATTATCACGGTGCCCCTGGTTCTTTTTCAACCACCCCAATCGCAGGGTTGCCGCGGTTTACCTGCAAGGCTTGCTGACTCATTCCTCTGCCGGGGCAAGCATCATGAGGGCTACCTGCCAAGCAGGTGCACAGAGAGCCTGTGCACCTGCACGGCCCTTTGAGCTGTCTGGGATGCAGGGAGGCCGATCTCCTTGGAGCCGTCAATTTATGATGCCAAAGCGTGATTCCTGGTAGCCCTCACGGGCATTTGTATACAAGTATAAACATATGTACAGTTGCATGCAACAGGCTTAACAAGGGTTTGTTGCCTTTTGATGATTTGGGGTGCCCCACTTCCTGCCCACCAGAATAGAACAAGTTTAGGAACTCTGTGTGGTAGAAACGCCTCCCCGCCCCCCTCCCCACATTACGAGGGGCGGATGTTGGTGGCAGAGGCGATGAATTGGTGGGTCTCATCCTCGATCTCCGTCCGGAGGCGCGTAAGGCGCTCTAAGACTTCCTGGCGCGCAAGTGGCGCGCTTGGGGAAGCGTAGGCGGCGGAGGAAGTGGAATACCTGAAAGCTAAACACACACACACACACAAGTGGGTTTGTAAGATGGCTGGTTTGTGCCCTTTACACCAACCAAAAGGTCCTTCCCCAAAAAAACAAGAACACACCCAAATGAAGATGGAACCCGAAACAAAAGGAGATTCCTCTACAAACCAGCTTGTTTTTGGTTTCATGTCGATCAGGAGGTAAGGCCCTATCCAACTTAAACAGGCCTGGTTGAAATAGAACATCGCAAACCAACAACATGGGGAGACCAGCTTCATCATGAGAGGGCGCCGAGTCTGGATGAACAATTCCCCAAGAAGCAACCATTGACCATCCAACACAAATTAACCACCCAAAAGGAACCCCCAACAGTATTCCAAGCAATTTTCATGGCACAACAAGCTCGTAGTTCACGTGGAAGGTCTGGGTGGCAAATAGGGGATCTGAAGCAATGCATCTGAGTGAACTACAAAACTTCACCCGCCGGGTCCAACAGAGGGAGCTGCATGGGTGGAATCAAAATCCGTGAGATCACGATTCCATATGCCCAGCCGGAGTGTATCAAAGAGCCAGGACGGGGCTGACAGGGTCTTGCTCCTAAGACCCCTCTCGAGGGGATGGGTATCGAGCAAGGACCTCTTTTTATGCCCAGAAATCCAGCATGCAGCTCATGTAAGGAGAGGTTCATAGTTTGACACATGCCCATGCAGGATTTTTGCAAAGGGAGTGCCACGGAAAGGCAAGTCGCAGAACGGCCAGCAATGGATGGGTCTTATTCTGGCTGGTTTATTGTTTTGTTTTTGCTAGTCAAACGTTTCGAGGACTATGTGTCATAAATCCCAAAAAGCTCCAAAAACTACCACGCATCCCTCATTCTTCAATATCTGAACCTTCGATGCCACAATGGCCCCTTTGGCAAACCACCCAGTTTTCCTCATGATTCTGCACCTGTGCTCCTCTTTTAGAGTTGGTGCCCCTTTGGTGGTTGCCAAACTAGGGCCAAAAGAAAACAAAAGGACAACCCACATTTTTTCGGGTCCACCCAAAAAAATTGCTCGCCCACCTTTCTGAGCTTGGCAAGTAGTGTTCCCTATCAATCTTGGCACATGGGCTGAAAGCAGCTCTGTCAAAGGCACCCTATGTGCTTTCTTCAATCCAAACCGGGGACCGGACCAAACCCCCCCGGCAGATTGAACCTTGTGAAGGATTCGCAGAACCTTTTTGAGGTTCTGAGAGAGGGCTGTAGATCGAACCTTTCTACTAGGGGGCCCCGATTTTGGTCCTCTTACTCTGGGGAGGTGCTCTCCCCATCCAAGAGGGAGGCCCCACGGAAAGGTGAACAAGTGGGGCTTATTCCGCCGGGGTTCCCAGCAGTTCATCAACCTTAGGCCGAAGGATTCAGGCGCATGTTGGGTAGGAACCCCGATTTGTAGCAATTGGTGGTTTGGAGCCCGGTTTGGTGGTTTGGGGGTGGTTTCACATTTACCCTCTACAAGAACTAACGGCTGAAATCCCAAATCCAGTTCCCATCAATCCAAACCACGAATTGAGGGTGAAGAACTTCGTCCCAGGTGCTGCGAACCCGTGGGTTTTCAGCTCTTTCTCCAACTTGTCGGAATCCTTCCGCTTGTTCTCCTGAGCCAAGGGCTCCGAAATCGAAGCGAATTCTCCCGAAACGGTGGGCAGCAGAGCTGATTGAGAGATGGTCATATAGACACATACCCTCCCTCCCACTAACATGGCAACTGACACAGGGTACCCCCAAGATAAAAAGGCATCTTCCGGGCATCCATCCCACAGGTGCTATGTTTGTTGGAGGGAGGGTATTCTTTTTTGAACCACGAAGTGACACAAGTGGGACATGCATACGGGTATATGCACAACCAAGAACAATCAAGAGTGGATGCACACATCTGCAGTATCTCGGTTTGAGCATCTTGATATTTAGCTGCTTGTATCTGTATGTATACATATACACATGTGTACCCATATGGAGGTATTTACACATGTGCACACCTTTGTTCGTGCATATACGTACATACTTCGTATGGCTACCTCGCAATCCAAGTCGTGGTCCCTGTCTGCCAACCCTCTCCTCCTCCATGGTCTTGATGAATTCATCGCCTGAGGGAAAGCAAGGGACCTACCCAACCCACACCACACATTCACAGTCGTTGTCCTTTTGCCAGTTGCTGAACCAACCTGGAAAGGGACAATACAATCAAAAACCATCAATCATTCTAGGGGTTGATTCTCCATTCTTTTCAACCATCGCTTTTCCAAAAACCAGCCGTTCTCCCTGGGTTTCCGGAGGTTTTCTAGAAAGAAGGATCCCTGGAAAGGATGGGGAAGGTACCAATAGAATAATGCGTGTCAGCTTATGAAAACCTTCAAGTCAAACATCTAAATCCCCCCCTTTTGGGGGTTGATGGCCATCACTGGCACCCGCAGGCAATTACGCCAACATGTCCTAAACTTGCAAGAATTCATAAGAATTCGCAGATTGGAAGAAGGAAGGATGAAACAAATGACCTTCATTGTCCCTCCCCCCGGCATGTTTTACCGAAACTTCGCCCCTACGAAGCGGGAACTTCTCCCGCGCCCGCATGCAGCCGGGCGGCGGATGGTGCCGAGGCACTCCTGTGCCGAGCCCAGGCGCTCAAATCTCCCGAGAGACGCATTTCTCTTGAGGGGCCCAGCAACAAATCTCCCAGATTTATCTCCAGGGGTCCATCTCCAGGTGTGCGGGCTAAGGAAAAACCGGCGAAATTCATGGTTGCTTTCCGCTCTGCGAAAAAGCAAAATAACTTTGAGTGGTTCAATGGAAAACCAAATTCTTGGCAAACAGTTAAAGTCCTAACATCCCTTGGCGAAATGCAGCAAAGAAATTGTGGGGTTTGGGTGGGTGTCCATGGGCTGTCCTCAGATCCCCCTCTAAAAGTCAACTTTCAGCGGCGTCGAATGGGAATCCCCACTCCAAAAGGTGAAAGCTAGGGGGATGGCCGGGAGCCACCGAGATGTAAAACCACCCAAAAGGGTACCTTCAAACAAAAGATACACCCAAATAGATGACCTCCAATAAATGCTCGTGCTTGTGGCTTCCCTTCAAAAACATCCAACAAGGGCACAAAAAAAGCTGGCCAAATGCAAATATCAGGAGCGTGTCCGAAAATTGAGCGCCGTTCGGGCGTTCAAGGGAGACTAGGCCATCCAGCAACCCTTGTTCAAGCGGAAGGCCGCAGAACCGATGCGCAAGTGAACTGTGAACAAAAGGCCTCTGCGAGAGTCGAGGCACATGTGGGCTTTGAGAAGAAGTGAAGGCCAGCCAAAATGAACCTTTACTGTGAAACAAATGGGGGCCTGGGCTCTCTGTATTTCACCAAAAAAGCCCTTCACAGCTTCTCTTGCAAATTGGCCTGGAAGTCCAAACAGGTGTCTTTTGCACGCAGCTGCAGAGTAACTTGGCTCACATCTGGGGCACACAAAGATCCTTCCAGATTCTGTTTCATGCTTAGTCTACCCCCCCAAAAAAAATACACCAGCATAGACCCCAGATAGCAATGATTGCACACCAGCACCTCCAACAGCACCCCCCGAAGAGCGTCCCAAACAGCACCCGCCCGTCAATCGAGCACCCGCACCATCACTAGCACCTCCAACAGCACCCCAAACAGCATCCCAACACAGCACCTGCAGGAGCACCCCAAACTGCATGCCCCCTGCACCCTGCCGTCAATCTCGCAAAAATGCGCCTGCACGGTCACCCTATAAGAGCACCCCAAACAGCACCCCCAAACAGCACCCCAAAACGCCACCTGCACCAGCACCCCAAGCTGCATGCCCCCTTGCACCCTACCGTCAAGATGCAAACATGTGCCTGCGCCGTCACCTGCATGCCCGATAGCACCCGGGCGTCAATATCGCAAATTGCGCCCGCACCGTCACCAGCACCTCAAACAGCTCCCCAAACAGCATCCCAAAACACCGCCAGCACCAGCACCCCAAACTGCATGCCCCCGTGCACCCTACCGTAAAGATGCAAAAACACCGTCACCCCCAAGACAGCACCTGCACCAGCACCCCCAAACTGCATGCCCCCTAGCACCCTACCATCAATCTTGAAATGATGCGCCCGCACTGCCATCAGCACCTCAAACAGCACCCCAATCCGCATAAACCAGCACCCCAAACTGCACGCCCCTTAGCACCAGCCCATCAATCTCGCAAATCACTTCACCCTCTTTATTAGAATTAGAACCCCTATAGCTTTCAGCTATCTGGGGAAAAACAAAAACATATAGCTTTGGAGACCCCGACCTCGCAGCGCCCAACTTCCGACGTCCGGGCGCCTCATCGGAGGAGGGCCTGCCTTTGTACTTCACCAGAAGCTGCACCACGTCCATTTGGTCGTGCCGAATGGCGTCGTCCTGCAAAACCGTGAGCGGATCTGAACGGATCATTCCCTGAGCCGGCGGTGGGGCGGCCAAACAGCAAAGAGCTTCCGTCAATCAATCTAAGATGTTACCATGGAAGCTGGCCCGAAACCCAGCTATTTTTCGCAGAAGGCCAGCTATGTGCGGGTTTTGGGATCATTCTTTGGGCACTTCAGCTTCGGGGCCAGATCAGAGAGCTCTGTAGCGAGCCACGCCCCCGTGTCCCTCTGCCGAACGATGGACGTTAGACAACTGGGTAATTGTGTATCCCACAACTTGGATTGTGTTCCTTTTCCCCTTGAACCAACCTGAAAGGGTACCTACAAAACAACACCCCCAGTTTTTGTCAGCCCCCCACCCCAGCTTGTCCATGGGACATTTAGTGAGTGCCCCGTGTCCCCCTAGTCGACTGCCAAAGTTTTTTGTTCTCCTGGGTGATGAATTGGGGCTGTGAGAATAAGCATTATGCAGCATCGACTCGCCTGCAGTTTCCTCCAGATTGAATTTAGCCACAACTACATGTTATTTGGAATTCCGTACGTGCCACTACATTTCCCGCCCAACCGTTGGACCATGTTATCCAGGCGAGGGCAAACCCAATGACACTGCAATGCTTGTTCCACTTCCATTTGCTGAAGCCCCCTTGAATAAGAAATATATTTCCAATAGTGATAGCTTCCCTTTAAAACCAACGCAAACCAAAAAAAGCAACTGGAAGTCCAAGGGCCCCTGCGGTAAGGGTCCCCATGCTGAAATCACCCAATAAAACGGGGAGGAGATTCCCAATCGCAAACATGTTGGTGTCCATTTTTCAAGCAGCCCCGGCAAGGATACCAACGTGGAATCTGACTAGAGCCCACTGGAAGACAGCTGTCCTCTACAGTGCAACATGGAACGCAGATCGCACACCATTGAGGAATCATGGAGCCCAAAGCGCACACTGTTGAAGAATTTATTGTTGGACCCCTTTGGGATTGCCCTCTTGGTTCCATTTTCTGTGTTTGGGCCCAGTCTCAACCAGCCGCCCCCCCACCCCCCAGCCGAGCGCCCCGGTCCAAGGGCGTGCACAAGAACCGATCGAGAGGATTCGGATCCACCTTGCGGATGGTGAGCCAAGGGCTTTTGGGGCCGTGGGCTTTGGTCGGCAATGAAAATCACCAGAAAGTCAGCCCATGTTGGGACAGTTTTCCCGACATACACGTATGTATATTCATATGTAAGTATATTTATAACTAAAATGGATAATAACAATGATGATGACAATTATAGAGTATTGCAAGTGGAGTAGCGCAAAACTCCGGTAAATCTCAGATTTGCACTTGGTCCCCTACATGAAGGGATCAAACTCTTGTCCCGCAAAGCAGGCAAAACTCTGTGGAGCGATCAAAACTGAAGGCTATGAATTCAAAAGGCAACCTCCTGGAAAGCTAGCGGATCCCTCCCTAAATCATGTCGACCAAAGGGTCCGGGAATCACACATTTGGGCAAGAAGGCACCGGAAATTGAAAGGTCAAGTTCTCCTCGTCGGCTGCGAGCACCTCCAAGTCTGACCCACGTCGTTCCTTCTTAGGGCAAGGATGGGGCCAGGCGCAAAGCCTTGGGCCTCCTGCCGAGGCCAGTCGGTTTAACACTAACAGGGCCCTCATTTGGCCGAGGCATCTTCTTCTTGGGAGAGGAAGCGAGGAGGAAGCCAGCGATTTTGGTCGGGCCCTCTTGCCCGCGTCCTCAAACTTGCCCCAGCCAAATGGCAGTGTCATTTCTTGAGGGTGCCCTTCCTTGATTGCTTTCTAAAGGGAAACCAAAAGGAAAATCACTTCCTGGGGGGTCCAACCTTAAGACGCCACACCCAAATGGGACCTCCAAGTAGTTTACCCCTGCAACCTTGGCCCAACTCAGCCGATCTCTTCAGACTTCTCATATTGAAACCCCCAAAGCCTAAAATCAATTTCCAGAAGACTCCAACAAGGACTCCAAGAAGGCTGCCGACCGCCTGCGTCACAAGAATTTGAGGCAGGATTCGCTAAATCACAATAAAATGGCGAGGAATTTCTTTTGACTAAAAACACCGCCGGCTTCCTCTTTACGGGATCAAGTTTCAGGGAAGTTCCCGGAGCTTAGCCCATAGTGTTTCCCATGCTTGCCCGCGAACATCACCTCCACCACCAAAAAGGCACCCACAAGGGAAATGTGTGTTTTAAATGAGGAGCCACACGCACGCGTACACTCACATTCGGGCTTTGTCTTGAAATCAGGGAGCCTCCAAACATAGGTTTCCCTCTGATATGGTTATTGAAACAAACCAAAAAGGGTATCCTCCAAAGATTTTACCATAATATAGAGACCCAAAAAAATGGACACCTAGGACCGTAGCCCCCGCTTTTTAGTTGGCACCCCCTCGCCATTTTGGGGGGAACCGATACCCACCAACGCACAGAAGCTTCTCACATTGTGTGATGGGGGTACTTGCCGGACTCTACGGGGAGTTACGAAAGGAAACCAAAAAGCTCCGCCCTCCATAGTGGTCGCGGTTTCCTTTCGCCTCCTGATAGCTCCCACCGGCTCCCTCTTCGGTGATTGGGGTGACTCCCAGCTCCGGCCCTTTGGCTCCCTTCCAACCGGCCAGATTCCCCCCCCCCCCCCCCCCACCGCCCCACCACACCTTTTCCAAACAATCCCCCATCCCAAAAATCCAGGAGCTCCTCCTTAAAGGCGAGTTTGGATACTCCAGCTCCCTGGCTCCCTCCAACCACCAGCTAGTTCCCCCCCCCCCACCCACCCCCCCCACCCGGGTGTGCCATCGGCTTGCATCCCCCACCTTGCCCTCGCGCAGCAGGAAAACGCAGGTCTCCAGGTGCCCGTTGGAGGCCGCTAAATGCAAGGCGGTGCCTCGAAAAACTCCGCCGCTGGAAGAAGGCGAGTTGAGCCAAGGAATGCGGGATCTTGTGTTTGTGTGTCTTTTTCGTTTTTGTTGGTTTCTTCTTCTTCTTTTTTTTGGGGGGGGGAAGGTTGAGGTGCATCACCCTACGAATGCATTGTTTGGGTGCATCACCCTACCAATGTTGTTTTTGGTGAGGTACATCACCTTACTAACTCAGTCTGAACATCACCCACTTGTGTTACTCAACTAGGTCCTCCAGTAGAGAGGTTAGAATAAGGGTACCTTTTTTTTCAGTTGTCTTTTTTAGTAGGGGAACCCTCCCCCAAAAAAAGGTTGAAGGGCACTACTGGGGGTCCTACTCAATGGTACATGTCTATTGGTTCAAACAATAGTTTGGCGGTTTTGTTGGTGCGTTAGTACCCATTTCCTCTTTAGACCTCACACCAAAGTAGGGTCCGGCTAGGGTGATGTTCAAAACGGCCAAACAAGGAAACTTACTTAACCCTCGTCGAAGAGGAGGAGGAGGAGCAGGAGGAGCGGGAGGGAAGCACTGCAAACTTCTGTAATTTGCCAGGAAGTTGTGTGCTTGGATGTTTGATTGATTCACGAACTTGTGGGGCCTCAGAAGCCAGATTGCAGAACAAAAGCCTCCAAACCTCCACCCATACCTTTCGTCTGGGGCAAGTTCCACGGGCCATCAATGCACGGTATCTTAACCACCAGGCAGCCGTGCATTACCTCTTCCTTCTAACAGGAAGAGGGTCCCGTAACAAGCATGCTTTTTCAATATTAGAATAGCCCAATCTGAAACCAATACTCAACTAGCCCGATCTCGCTTCCTATTGACCACCCTGCCAAAAGTCACTCACCACCTAAAACCAGGCTTCAAATGTCCATTTTAGACACCCCAAACCTGGAACTGGGCCAGAAAAAGCAACACACATTTCAGGGAAGGGATGATATCAAATGTGCATATGTATCTGAGAGAGATTGAGGCCATGGCGGTTCATACGCTCTTGGGGAGTAAACATCATGCGTCCGGCAGGACTTGGGCATCATACCGCCACTCACAACACGTTGCCAGGGTAAACATACATGGCACAGTTCCTTTACGTCGGCAAAGGGCCCAACTTGCCGCCGTCACACAAGCACAAACACTTCAGGCACATGCCTCGGGCCAAAGATGCACGCCCGCTAAGTACCAAGGAACCTGAACACGTGCCCCACCCAAACGGAGTTTCCGGAAAGAATTACTCCCCATGTTTGTTTGCAGGAGTGCAACAATATGCAGAAAGGGAAACACTTGGTTGAACGGGGACCCATAGTCAAACTGCTGTAAACGATTCTCCGTGTCAGAATATGCGCCGTGGGCAACGGGCATCCTACTGATTTCCTCTGATGGGGCCATGGGTCCCATCAGAGGGCATTGCCAGCAACTTGCCATCCGAAGCACAAAGAGGAACCCAACCAAGGATTTTCCCCCCCCCATTCGTCCCTGAGAAGCTGCAAAACAGAAGCTGAACGGATCATCTCGAGCCTTCTTTTTGCTTAAGGGGTCCAACGAGTGCGAACTTGGGGAGCAGCAATTTGCTGCTTGTTTGGTGTGTGTGTTTTCTATTTGTGTTTTCTTTCCACAAAGTAGAGACAGGTCCCAGGCCCCCAAAATAGTGGGTGTCCTTTTGGTTTCCGTTTTAAAAATGCACAAAGAAGAAATACCCTCAAAAAGGGATACAGCCGCCAACCTCTACCCGAGGTGGTTCCAACTCTCAGAGTTCATAGCCATGCCCACATTCCAAGCTGCGGTAGTCGTAGTCTGCCATCCCGGCGCGGACTCCCGCTTCAATCATCCTCAGGTCTCAGACATCCGCACCTTCCTACTTCGTGCTACCACGATCAAATCGTGTGGCGAAAGCGCCCCCTGGGCCAAACAAAAAGAACAACTTCCCTGGCTAGTGGAGAAGCACTAGCTTAACTTGACTGCAATCTCTGGTTGGAACCCACTCACTTTCCCAAGCTGGCTGACGATGTGACCAAGCCGAGGAAAATGAGAGAGAGCTGCTCAAGTGAGGGTCCCTGGTACATCCTAAACAAAACCTGGCGAAGCAAACTGGAACAGATTGCCGAGCACTGTTCACGTTCTCAATCCAAGCCGGGGCACCTGAGTGGATTGTCCAAACGAAGTCTGAAGATTGCTTCCTTGCCACTAAAGTGGGTGCTTCCCCAAAAGTGACTACCATACCCTCCCACGGATGCCTTCTGTTAGTGGGAAAAAGGGCAGATCATAAATAGAAACTTGTAGATTCCTGGAAATGAGTCCTGGTTTAGACCATTTTTCCTTCGACAGGGGCAATTTCTCTAGAGCAAATACATTATAAATAGAGATTATGAACTGGATTGATCTTCCAGGTGCCCTCCCTGTATGTGGACAGAAGGGAATGTGTTTTAGGCGAAGGCCATTTCGGCTAGCACATGTATCAGGATAATTAAAGCTTACGTATATTCATCTCTTTTTGGGCGTAGTTGCCCAGAAGGGCGCCCAACTTCCCTTTATACGTTGGATTGAACTGGGCTGTCCTCAGATCCCCTGCTAGTTTAACTTGTGGGTTACATATGGAAACTCAACCGCTGAACCCGCTTAAAACCACTAAAACCTAGGTTGAACCGGACGATTCGCTGGTTGCGAACCCCCTCGTCTTGCTGCTTCTCAGCAGGCAATGAGGGAATGACCGCTACAAACCATCCCTTGTGGTTTCCTTCAAAAAAATCCCCTTTTGGTTCATTTCCAAAAACCAGACTCGGTCATTCCCTACCTATCGCACCGGCAAGAAGTAAAGCACGGCGAAAAAAAACAAACATATGTCTCCACTGAGTCTCCACTATATACTGAATTCGATTCCCATCAAATCCAGCAAGGGGAAATAACACACCTGGACCCTCAAACTACCCTTCAAAAAACGGGGGTTCACCAACCATAGTTGTGGGTTGTCTGTGACCCATTAAGTTGGAATCTTCGGGGCATCTTCACTTCAGCCAATGGAAGAGATTCTGCCGGATCTTAAAACAGCTAGAGGCCTAAACACCTAAAACACCCAAGTTGAACCGAAGGATTCGCCGGGAGCCGCTGACAAAAGTGGTTTTGAGTGAAGTCTCTGCCGGATCTTGTTGTGATTGGCTACCCTTCTTTGAGCTGGAATTTTGAGGGTTCAGGCTCTATCAAATCCCAGCTTAAAACCAACAAGGGGAAAAACAAAAACGAAAGATGCACATCCCAGCTTAAAACCAACAAGGGGAAAAAAGAAAGATGCACATTCCAGCTTAAAAAACCAGCAAGGGGAAGAAAATAAAGATGCACATCCCAGCTTAAAACCAAAAGTTGAAAAAAACAGATGCACATCCAAGCTTAAAACCAACAGGGGAAAGAAAGGAAAGATGCACATCCCAGCTTAAAACCAGCAAGGGGGAAGAAAAGAAAGATGCACATCCCAGCTTAAAACCAACAAGGAGAAACAAGAAAGAACGATGCACATCCCAGCTTAAAACCAACAAGGGGAAAAAAACACAGATGAACACCCCAGCTTAAAACCAGCAAGGGGAAAAAACAAAGATGCACATCCCAGCTTAAAACCAGCAAGGGGAAGAAAAACAAGCTGCACATCCCAGCTTAAAACCAACAAGGAGAAAACACAAAAATGCACATCCCAGCTTAAAACCAGCAAGGGGAAGAACAGAACGATGCACATCCCGGCTTAAAACCAACAAGGGGAAAAAACAAAGATGCACATCCCAGCTCAACACCAGCAAGGGGGAAGAAAAGAAAGATGCACATCCAAGCTCAAAAGCAGCAAGGGGAAAAAACAAAGATGCACATCCCAGCTTAAAACCAGCAAGGGGAAGAAAAGAAAGATGCACATCCCAGCTTAAAACCAACAACAAAAAGAAAAAAAGGTGCACATCCCAGCTTAAAACCAGCAAGGGGAAGAAAGGAAAGATGCACATCCCAGCTTAAAACCAACAAGGGGAAGAACAGAACGATGCACATCCCAGCTTAAAACCAACAAGGGGAAAAAACAAAGATGCACATCCCAGCTCAACACCAGCAAGGGGGAAGAAAAGAAAGATGCACATCCCAGCTTGAAACCAACAAGGGGAAAAACAAAGATGCACATCCCCGCTTAAAACCAGCAAGGGGAAGAACAGAACGATGCACATCCCAGCTTAAAACCAGCAAGGGGAAGAAAACAGATGCACATCCCAGCTTAAAACCAACAAGAGGGAAAAACAAAGATGCACATCCCAGCTTAACACCAGCAAGGGGAAAAAACAAAGATGCACATCCCAGCTTAAAACCAACAAGGGGGAGAAACAAAATGCACATCCCAGCTCAACACCAGCAAGGGGAAAAAACAAAGATGCACATCCCAGCTCAAGACCAGCAAGGGGGAGAAGAAAAGATGCACATCCCAGCTTAAAACCAACAAGGGGGACAAACACAATGCCATCCCAGCTTAAAACCAACAAGGGGAAGAAAAGAAAGATGCACATCCCAGCTTAAAACCAACAAGGGTGCACATCCAAGCTTAAAACCAGCAAGGGGAAAAAACAAAGATGCACATCCCAGCTTAAAACCAGCAAGGGGAAGAAAAGAAAGATGCACATCCCAGCTTAAAACCAACAACAAAAAGAAAAAAAAAGGTGCACATCCCAGCTTAAAACCAGCAAGGGGAAGAAAGGAAAGATGCACATCCCAGCTTAAAACCAACAAGGGGAAGAAAAAAGATGCACATCCCAGCTAAAAACCAACAAGGGGGAGAAACAAAATGCACATCCCAGCTTAAAACCAACAAGAGGGAGAAAAACACGATGCACATCCCAGCTTAAAACCAACAAGGGGGAGAAACAAAGATGCACATCCCAGCTAAAAACCAACAAGGGCGAGAAACAAAATGCACATCCCAGCGTAAAATTAAAACCAACAAGGGGAAGAAAAACACGATGCACATCCCAGCTTAAAAACCAACAAGGGGAAGAAAAGAAAGATGCACATCCCAGCTTAAAACCAACAAGGGGGAAAACAAAGATGCACATCCAAGCTTAAAACCAGCAAGGGGAAAAAACAAAGATGCACATCCCAGCTTAAAACCAACAAGGGGAAGAAAGGAAAGATGCACATCCCAGCTGAAAACCAACAAGGGGGAGAAAAACACTATGCACATCCCAGCTAAAAACCAACAAGGGGGAGAAACACAATGCACATCCCAGCTTAAAATTAAAACCAACAAGGGGGAGAAAAACACGATGCACATCCCAGCTTGAAACCAACAAGGGGGAGAAACGAAGATGCACATCCCAGCTTAAACCCAACAAGGGGGAGAAACAAAATGCACATCCCAGCTGAAAACCAACAAGGGGGAGAAACAAAATGCACATCCCAGCTTAAAACCAACAAGGGGGAGGAAAAAACGATGCACATCCCAGCCTAAAAACAACAAGGGGGAGAAAAAAAGATGCACATCCCAGCTAAAAACCAACAAGGGCGAGAAACAAAATGCACATCCCAGCGTAAAATTAAAACCAACAAGGGGAAGAAAAACACGATGCACATCCCAGCTTAAAACCAACAAGGGGAAGAAAAGAAAGATGCACATCCCAGCTTAAAACCAACAAGGGGGAAAACAAAGATGCACATCCAAGCTTAAAACCAACAAGGGGGAGAAAAACACTATGCACATCCCAGCTTAAAACCAACAAGGGGGAGAAACAAAATGCACATCCCAGCTGAAAACCAACAAGGGGGAGAAACAAAATGCACATCCCAGCTGAAAACCAACAAGGGGGAGAAGCAAAATGCACATCCCAGCTGAAAACCAACAAGGGGGAGAAACAAAATGCACATCCCAGCTTAAAACCAACAAGGGGGAGAAACAAAATGCACATCCCAGCTGAAAACCAACAAGGGGGAGAAAACCACAATGCACATTCCAGCTGAAAACCAACAAGGGGGAGAAAAACACTATGCACATCCCAGCTGAAAACCAACAAGGGGGAGAAAAACACTATGCACATCCCAGCTGAAAACCAACAAGGGGGAGAAACAAAATGCACATCCCAGCTGAAAACCAACAAGGGGGAGAAACAAAATGCTCATCCCAGCTGAAAACCAACAAGGGGGAGAAACAAAATGCACATCCCAGCTGAAAACCAACAAGGGGGAGAAACAAAATGCACATCCCAGCTGAAAACCAACAAGGGGGAGAAGCAAAATGCACATCCCAGCTGAAAACCAACAAGGGGGAGAAACAAAATGCACATCCCAGCTTAAAACCAACAAGGGGGAGAAACAAAATGCACATCCCAGCTGAAAACCAACAAGGGGGAGAAAACCACAATGCACATTCCAGCTGAAAACCAACAAGGGGGAGAAAAACACTATGCACAAAACAAAATGCACATCCCAGCTTAAAACCAACAAGGGGGAGAAAAACGATGCACAAAAAAAATGCACATCCAGCTTAAAACCAACAAGGGGGAGAAAAAAACGATGCACAAAACAAATGCACATCCCAGCTGAAAACCAACAAGGGGGAGAAAAAAGATGCACATCCCAGCTTAAAACCAACAAGGGGGAGAAAAAAACGATGCACATCCCAGCTTAAAACCCAACAAGGGGGAGAAAAAACCGATGCACATCCCAGCTTAAAACCAACAAGGGGGAGAAAAAAACGATGCACATCCCAGCTTAAAACCAACAAGGGGGAGAAAAAACCGATGCACATCCCAGCTTAAAACCAACAAGGGGGAGAAAAAAAGATGCACATCCCAGCTTAAAACCAACAAGGGGGAGAAAAAAAGATGCACATCCCAGCTTAAAACCAACCAAGGGGGAGAAAAAAGATGCACATCCCAGCTGAAAACCAACAAGGGGGAGAAACAAAATGCACATCCCAGCTTAAAACCAACAAGGGGGAGAAAAAAACGATGCACAAAACAAAATGCACATCCCAGCTTAAAACCAACAAGGGGGAGAAAAAAAGATGCACATCCCAGCTTAAAACCAACAAGGGGGAGAAAAAAGATGCACATCCCAGCTTAAAACCAACAAGGGGGAGAAAAAAAGATGCACATCCCAGCTTAAAACCAACAAGGGGGAGAAAAAAGATGCACATCCCAGCTGAAAACCAACAAGGGGGAGAAACAAAATGCACATCCCAGCTTAAAACCAACAAGGGGGAGAAAAAAACGATGC